TAAGATTCATATCAGAATCCAACCCTTTTGTTTGAGATTCCAAAGTGCCAAGCACAACTGGTGATATATCCATATTTATTGAAATGCACTACAAAAGCTTTATCTCTAGTGATTTACCCTAAGGGGACTTGAGATGAATTCAAATATTGGGCTACTGAGCATGTCACTCAACAGTTGCATTGTGGGAGCAATATTGTCATGTTGGAAATGAAGTTAAAGGTCCATGCAGGTTTTATAATAGACACTAAACAATGGAGTCAAATTATTTTAAATCAAGCTGTCAAGCACATTTCGGTCTGGATGATGTTAGGCATTTATTTCTCTACATATCCCCTAATTGTAGTAATTGTATGTCACAATTCTGAATATAAATTAGACAAATCATTCACTAAATGTCAAATAGACAAAACTAGTATTGCACATGCATCATCGATGAATGAGTATTAATGACTAGGTTGATTTACTTGGGTTTTCAAATGTTATCATTCAACCTATATCAAGTCTGTAAGTGGCTGTCTAATATGCTGCTGCTGGGTAAATAGATGTAAATAATAAAAAAAAGCAAAACAGTTAAATCACCCCATCCAAACAAAACTTAATTTTTTTTACTGCTTTATAATAAACATGATTAGGAACTATTCTTGAGATGCATAGTGATGAATGAATTTACTAAATAAGAAAAAAAAAACCTTAGGAAAACCTTATCTGAATTCCAGTACTGTATAATATATTATTTTACCTGGAATTAATTTTTAAGGAAAACAAAATGTTGACCGTTTGTACGGAATTCATTTGTGCTGATTTTTGGCGAGTTTTGGATTTTATTTTCACCGCTTCTACCTTTCGGCGAAAATAAATTCTGGGTGAAAATAAAAAATTTTACAGTATTTTAAGTTTATCATTAATACTTCAATAATGTGACTAAAATGCTAATGTGTTTATAAGATTCATGTCTTGTTTCGGTTTCTAGATGTACCCAGAGCTGGAGATAACAAATGTAGTTGAAGCCAATGAAGATGAGACCATTGCACAATGGTGCAAGATTGGTGGTACTAAATGTAAACATTCCCATAAAGTTACACCATTCAGATGTATAGGTAAGTTGTACAACATGCAGATATCTGCAATACACCAGGAACTCCCACTCGCACCCCTTTCCCAATTGATGGTGTTATATTGTCGGCTCAGTCATCACTCCATGTCATGTTCAATATGGTTATCATGCAAAAAAATTTTAACATGCGCTGCTATGCGCCAACTATTTAATTTGCTGAAAGGGTTACGCTCTACCATCTTTGCTCAATTAACGCCTGATCCCATATGCCACATTAATTGCACTAAAACAAATTGACACAACTTTCCTTCCACAGTTGGTAAATTTGAAAGTGATGCTCTGATGGTACCCAATAAATGCAAGTTTGCACATATCCACGACTCGTCGGTGTGTCTAAGTCACGACAAGTGGCAATTTGAAGCCAAGGAATCGTGTACGACTCGTGGTATGGAGTTGCATGACTATGGTATGCTGCTGCCATGTGATATAGACGTCTTCAGTGGAGTGGAATTTGTATGCTGTCCTATTGATGAATCTGCAGAGAAACAAGAGAGTAAGTTGTTTTTATTATTGGATAAACGTGGAATACAACACATCACTTGTCACTGCTATTTTTCCCCCGATTCATTTTGGCTATTGGAGGCACATTCAGCAGGCAGTTTAACCCATGTGTAGTCCAAATTCTTATCACGTCACTGACGATAGAATCGGGAATCCATTAATCTTTACCATTGAAGACAGTATCAGCACTTGTGGTTGACCTTTGTTATTGTTCCCATCTCAGAACGCAATTCTTTTGAATTTTGGTTTTGGTTCTAAAAGATGATGGGTAAACTTAGTATCCTGTTGGTCTCAATACGCTCTTTCCTGTGCTTTTTGTGAGTGTGGTTTTTGAATTTGCCTATTAGTGATTGTAAATTTGTGATGGACATTTTGTAACATGAAGACATCTTGCCAGGGGATTTAGGAGTACCGGATTCGGCTGATACCCCGCCCTGGGCGATCTTATGGAGGATTTAGTTTTTTTTTAGAAAAATGTGGACCAAAAGATCGCCTGGGCGATGTTATGGCAGATATTACGAAGCCCATCTTGTCCGGAAAAATAACCCTGCACTGATAAAAATGGTCTCAGAAAATGTTTAGAAAAAATATTGTTTCGCGTTGACCAAATATAATCATGCAAAGTATAAATTCAAAGTGTTTTAATACATTGGTGAGAGATTGCATTACGTGAACAAGAAGGAAAAGCAAGCCAAAGTCGAAACGGGGTGCATCATGGACATGACAACACACGCTGTGACAACCGAGTAATCTGCGAAATCATTTTGGGCGCAATTGAACTTCAAGTACTTTTTTACAAACTGTTGCTGCGCGGCGATACTGCTGACATCAAGTGTGTGTTGACCAAAGTTTGACCCCAAGTCACGCACTGAACTGGCGCGTTAACGTAGCAACCTTTTTCTTTCGTGCTCCGCGCGTCGGTCTAGTAAAATTGTTATTATATCCGACGATACTGTAATCACTTAACTTGTCTGCAACTCTGGCTTTGAATATATCAACATCGTTTACTTGGTGCGCTGCTTTTCTAATGACGCAAATTTGTTTACAGTACAGGCTCTGAATATTTCAACTTTGTAATGCTTTCATAATAATTACGCAAACTCAAGTAATTTATATTACAGACTTTATAATGCGTTGCACTCGTAATAATTACGCAAACATAAACATGGGCTCATTTAAATCATAGTAGTCAGGTGTCTTGTGATTCATCGATGTTCCCAATGGTGAATTATTTTATTCGAAATAAAGTGAATATGTATTATAATAAACTCTGGGCAGCGCACTTCGATCGCATTATTCACGTACATTTCGACTGATCTCTACTAACCATGTGTTTGAATCACGTGCGGCATTGGACAATGACCTCCAGAATTCACGCGCTGATATTTAAATTCGAGCCACCCAGCTTCAACCAAATTAATATAGTTACCTATCATTTGTGCAAAAAACCTGTCAACTCCACAAATACCACAAACTCGAAGAGTTTACTGAAAGGGAACGTCTTTTTTGGACAAAAAAAACACTTCAAATACAAGATAATGTGTGCAAGGTTAGATTTCTAGAACGTACACGACCGCTTAACTCAGTGTTTTTTTAATAATTATGTCGCATGTGAAGCGCAGGAGACATTTTAGTTCGCCAATTTCCTGTTTACTGATCTTGAACTTTTTGTCAGGAATGCAATACAAAGATAACATGAACGATACCTACCGTTGTCAAATCAACCAAGAGGCTGAATCAGGAAGGCTTGTGTATTTCAAACTTCGTAAATAGCATTCATTTCAAGTGCAGACTTTATTTGAGTGTAATAAACGCAAGTGAAATGTATTCACGAGCCATAATACTCGTACCTTCTAAAGTTAAGACTTTTACTCTAGAAATTGGTGATAAATACTTGCATAAAATACAAACATATACCGTTTTTCATGCAACAACAATTCGTATACAGCATTGGATTTATTGGATTTTTACACGTTTCGACTTCACAGTGAATTATTTTTTGCGTCATATTTGAAATAGCGCGCTCGATGCAAGATGTCGGACGAGGAAAATTGGGGTCTGTAAAAATGTTTGTTGGTTCAGTCAGGCAATGTGTGGACCAAAACATCGCCCACTATTTGAAACATCGCCCATGGGCGGGGTTTAGGATGGGCGGGGTATCAGTCGAATCCGGTAATTAAATTACACATAATTAAAACATTATGTGTAATACACACACACATTCAGTCCCCTACACCAAGCAGCTGAATCTTGGCTTTGTGAACTGCTCTTATCAGCCATCATTTTTAGCTAGCTTCTCATTACTAAAAAATCACTACTAATTATGCTGGAGTTCTTTTCTGAATGCTTTTCTATGTTCAATATCTTGTACATTTTTCTTGGAGTGTTGAAACATGTTCAATTCTCTTGTCTCTGGGTCTAAGTTTGAGCCACTTGGGAAATTAGAATTGAGATAAAACTGAAGACATTTGTATCTGAAAGTTCTCAAGCTTCTTTATATGGATTTAATCAGAGTGTCAAGGGAGAAACTAAAATTGTTATTTCTTGATATGGCAAAAATATATAATGTAAATTTCTGTAGTGCAAATGTGCTGTAAACTGGTAAAATTTCACTGGTTGTCATGTTTTTAATTTCAGCATTATATGGATTTTAGGAAGACAATATTTCATGATAGTCGCTGGTACATTTTTCACTGCTACTGAATTTCTTGATTTTCAGTCTTGTGTAATTCCCAAATTTATCGTGAAATCAAAGTGATTTACAGTACTCAACGACTGAATTTGTTACAAGATCTTAGATTATCCTGAAATTCTCTATACAGCAAGCCTAATATTATTTGTGCAAGATTATGACATCGCCTCTGATGGAAACTTCTCTGCAATGTGCATCTGCTGTAAACTATATACCAATTTTCCCAACCAGTTTCACAATTTTCATTTTCACAAAATTAACGCAGTACACAGCTTACATAATGTAAAAAATGTATTGTTTTCACAGCTGAGGAGATCGTTGAAGCCGAACCATTGGTCATTGAGGGCATTGACTTGAAAGAGGACGAAGATGATCGGTTCTTTACAATGGAAGGTGGAAATCCAAACGAGGAGCACAACGAGTTTGAGATGGCACGTGAACGCCTCGAACAGCATCATCGTGAACGGATGTCAAAGGTCATGAAGCAATGGGAAGCTGCTGAGGCGAACTACGAGGAGTTGAAGAAAACTGATGCTGTGACAGCCGAGAAGGAAAGAAAGGGTATGATGGAGGTATGTGTCATTGTGTACATTAATATTTCAAAATATTGACAAAGTGAATTTTGGCATTCAAAAGGTTAGAGTTCAAAATAGTGTTCCAAAACCTAGGATTAATGATTAGTGACTAGTGTGCTATTGAAAAATTAAAATTTGTTTTAGAAGCCACACCCATTCTTTTTGAATGAACTAAAATTCTGAATTTCTCGTATGTGTTCCTACTAAATAGCTGCATTGAACCATTTTACTGTGGATGAAAAACCAATCTAGTCAGCAGCATTGCTTATATGGTTCATTGTTTTGATAAAGCATTATTGATATTCACTTAACATTACAAACCGTTGCATTTGCACTGTAAAAGTTGCTCATCTTTTTTGCAAAACAGTAAACTATATTGCAATACTGCTGGCTAGTTTGCTTTTCCATTCACTGTATAATAGAGGCTGTGACTTCTAATACTGATTTAACGGTATTCGGTAAAAATACTTTCTGTGAGCACTACACACCTCACCAAACTTTGTGTTGGTGTACTGTTGCAGAGATTCCAAACCACTGTGATGTCATTGGAGCAAGAAGCCGAGAACCTAAGGGAACAGCTACGTGATACGCATCTACAACATATTGAGAAAAACATCAATGAGAAGAAGCGTGTGGCTTTAGAGGCATACACCAAAGCATTGCAAGCAATCAACCCCAAAGTAAGTACTGGATCATTCAATAATAAGCCATATGCATGACCTTTAAAAGGTCGTACATCCTGGTAGTTTCTGGTGTTACAGGTTAAATATCGACAAGAATATACCCTCCAAATATTTAAGTAGTTGTCACAGAATTTCAAGAACAATTGATCTTAACATATATTTATTAAGTATAGTGTTGGAAATTGTTACCGTTAGTGTGCACCACAAACAATGCACCTAGAGAGTACTAGAATGTTTGACCTTTTAGGGGGGTCATGCAAAGTACCAGGATGTGTGACCTTTCAGGGGTCATGCAAAGTACCAGGATGTGTGATCTTTAGGGGTCATGTACGAGGCATATTTATTCTCACAGAAAAATAACAATTCACATGCCATACATGCATCTCAAAGCTTGCATTTAAAAAAAAAAAAATTCAGGCATATTTCTATATAAAATTCCAAGTACTGATATACGGAAAATGTGTTTTTACCACAGGTTTGTATCAGTTAAAGGGGAAAACTATCAATCCAGAGAATCATACACCACAATTGTTTGTAAATATTGTTATTAACCCCAACTCTTAATGTTTACAAGCACTCTCATGAAACAATTGCTATGCTTTGGGCAAACAAGCATGCCCAGACTTTTTAAGGAGTGATTACACCTGTCACTCTCTCAAATCAAGATCCACAAGAGCTAATTATCAATCTCCCAATCTATGCCATTTTGATTTCAATAACACAGCTCCCATAATTACTTGCACCACTGTGTTCAGGCGAGGCTTGCATGCCAAGTACTTTCTTGTCGTCTTTTTTTACTCAGTCAAAAGACTTGCTTCATGGACTTCAGAAGTTTATCCACGCTGAGCAGAAAGACCGCCAACATAGCCTGCACCACTATGAGCACACAAGACAGACAAATCCCAAGAAGGCAGAAGACATGAAACCAGCGCTTTTGGAGCACATTCGTGAGGTTGATGACCGTATTAATCAAAGCATTGAAATGCTGAAGGTTCAGTTGCCGGATATTTATTCCATTCTCAAGGATAAAATCAGTGAGTGTATTTCTTTATTAAAGTTTGTTCTGACTGTTGGCAAAGCACAGCAATAGTTCAAATTTTCTGTAAATAATTGTATTTTACACGTTACAGGGTTTGAGAGTCTTGGGTGTACACTGCACAATATCTTGTTCTTTGTCAGTTGTTGACTTTCCATCCTTTTCACCTCAAAAATGTATAAATATTCATGAGTTGATTATGTAGGTACAACATTGTTGTAACATCGTCCACCTGCAATATCTTAAAAAGTAGATATTATGGAAACAAAGCTCCGAACATTTATTTCACTTCCCATGTGTGTTGCTCGCGGCATTTAATATCATGACTCCACTCTTACATTATTAAATACATATGATTTTGATTTCTTTTATAAAAATTCTGCATTGAATTATAGATGAAATCGTAGACATGTATGACAGTGAATTTGCCGACTCCTCCCTAGTCCTCAGACCAGCGCCAGTGGAAATAGTCACAGAAACTGACACCAAGACAACGGTTGTTACTGAACCACCAAAATATGAGGAAAGTCAAGAAAGTGAAGAAATTGAACCAGAAACAATCATAGACTATTGGGATGAAACTGGTGATGACAGTGATATTGATGACAGTGAGAGTGATAATGAGAGTGTGATTGTTGAGGAAGAGATGGATGAAGAGGTGATGGAAATGTTGATGACAAGTAAGAAGTTTTTGGTTTTACGATAACTAACTTTTGTTCCAGATATTGTGATTATTTGAGATGATTTTTCTTTTGAACAAAAAAAAAAATGAGTAAACAAAAACTGAAATAGGAACTTTTGTGGTGTTGGAATAATTTCCCTGTGCTTTGTTCATGTTGTAAACTACCTGGGGATTCACAACAAATCAATGAAAAGTAACACAATTGATGTTTTAAAATGTCTTTTTCGTCTTCGCTTG